GGCGGTGAGGACAAGGTTCCTGGCGGTGAGTACAAGATTCCTGGCGGTGAGGACAAGGTTCCTGACGGTGAGGACAAGGTTCCTGCCGGTCAGGACAAGGTTCCTGGCGGTGGGTGAGGACAATGTGCCTGGCGGTGGGTGAGGACAATGTGCCTGGCGGTGAGAACAAGGTTTCTGACTGTGAGGACAAGGTTTCTGGCGGTGAGGACAAGTTTACTGGCGGTGAGGACAAGGTTGCTGGCGGTGAGGACAAGGTTCCTGGCGGTCGGTGAGGACAATGTGCCTGGCGGTGAGAACAAGGTTTCTGACTGTGAGGACAAGGTTCCTGGCGGTGAGGAAAAAGTTACTGCCGGTGAGGACAAGGTTCCTGGCTGTGAGGACAACGTTCCTGGCGGTGAGGACAAGGTTCCTGGCGGTGAGGACAAGGTTCCTGGCGGTGAGGATAAGGTTTCTGAGTGTGAGGACAAGGTTCCTAGCGGTGGTTGAGGAAAAGGTTCCTGGCGGTGAGGACAAGGTTTCTGACTGCGAGGACAAGGTTTCTGGCGGTGTGGACAAGGTTCCTGGCGGTGAGGACAAGGTTCCTGGCGGTGAAAACAAGGATACTGACGGTGAGGACAATGTTCCTGGCGTTGAGGACAAAGTTCCTGGCTGTGAGGACAAGGTCTCTGGCGGTAAGGACAATGTTTCTGGTGGTGAGGACAAGGTTCTTGGCAGTGAGGACAAGATTCCTGGCGGTGAGGACAAGGTTCCCGGCGGTGATTCATGACAACGTTCCTGGCGGTGAGGACAACGTTTCTGACTGTGAGGACAAGTCTTCTGGCGGTGAGGACAAGGTTTCTGACTGTGAGGACAAGGCATCTGGCGGTGAGGATAAGGTTCCTGCCTGTGAGGACAAGGTTCCTGGCGGTGGGTGAGGACAAGGTTTCTGGCGGTGAGAAAAAGTTTCTGACTGTGAGGACAAGGTTCCTGGCGGTGAGGACAAGGTTACTGGCCGTGAGGACAAGGTTCCTGGCGGTGAGGACAAGGTTCCTGGCGGTGAGGACAAGGTTCCTGGCGGTGAGGACAAGGTTCCTGACGGTGAGGACAAGGTTCCTGGCGGTGAGGACAAGGTTGCTTGGGGTGAGGACAAGGTTCCTGGCGTTGGGTGAGGACAATGTGCCTGGCGGTGAGAACAATGTTTCTGACTGTGAGGACAAGGTTTCTGGCGGTGAGGACAAGGCTACTGGCGGTGAGGCAAGGATCCGGGCGGTGAGGACAAGGTTACTTGCGTTGAGGACAAGATTCCTGACGGTGAGGACAAGATTACTGGCGGTGAGGGCAAGGTTAGTGGCGGTGAGGACAATGTTCCTGGTGGTGAAGACAAGGTTTCTGACTGTGAGGACAGGGTTTCTGGCGGTGAGGACAAGGTTCCTGGCAGTGAGGACAAGGTTCCTGGCGGTAAGTACAAGGTTAATGACGGTGAGGACCATGTTCCTGGCGGTGAGGACAAGGTTACTCGCGGTGAGGACAACGTTGCTGCCAGTGAGAACAAGGTTACTGGCGGTGAGGACAAGGTTACTGGCGGTGGGAACAAGGTTCCTGGCGGTGAGGACAAGGTTCTTGGCGTGACGACAAGGTTCCTGGCGGTCAGGACAAGGTCCCTGGCGGTGAGGACAAGGATCCTGGCGGTGAGGATAAGGTTCCTGACGGTGGGTGTGGACAAGGTTCCTAGCGGTGAGAACAAGGTTTCTGACTGTGAGGACAAGGTTTCGAGCGGTGAGGACAATGTTCCTGGCGGTGAAGAGAAGGTTCCTGGAGGTGAGGACAAGGTTTCTGACTGTGACGACAAGGTTTCTGGGGGTGAGGACAAGGTTACTGGCGGTGAGGACAATGTTCCTGGCGGTGAGGACAAGGTTCCCGGCGGTGAGGACAAGGCTTCTGGCGGTGAGAACAAGGTTCCTGGTGGTGAGGACAAGGTTGCTGGCGGTGAGGACAACCCAGCCGGCAAAGCGACGTCGAAACAACGTCGAAACGACGTCAGAGGATGTCGTCGAATCGACGTCGAAAAAAGGTTGAAAACGCAAACGGAATCGACGTTGAGAAATCGACGTCGTTTCAACGTCTGGAAATCGACGTCGTTTCAACGTCGAGAAATCGACGTCGAAACGACGTCAGAGGATGTCGTCGAATCGACGTCGAAAAAGGGTTGAAAACGCAAACGGAATCGACGTTGAGAAATCGACGTCGTTTCAACGTCTGGAAATCGACGTCGTTTCAACGTCTATGAATCGTCGTCGTTTCAACGTCTGGAAATCCATTTTGTTTCCATGTTTCATTTTTGACGTTGTTTCGATGTTTAAAAGCAGGTGAAAATGCAAATGATCGACATTGGAGTAATGACGTCATTTTGACATGCATGTTTCTACGTCAATTCAACCCAAACCCAACGCTGGATATTTTTTTCAAAATATTTATTCATTTAACATATACATAAATACACACAAAAATATTTAACATAAATATAG